TGTTAAGATTCCGACCGCAACAAAAGACCTCGTAGTCAGGACCGAAGACTTGACTGGAAAGCGTTCGATAATCGAGCCACATTTCGCACAGGGCAATTATATCGTAGCAACGATCCGATACAGCTAGGCGGTACTCTTCAACATCAGAATTCATTCCACCGGCGTTTTGGTAGAAAATCACGACGTCCTGCTTGCGGCAAGGAATCGAACGACTGCTCTCCCTGGAAATCAAAGATACATCAGGCAATAACTGACCATCATCAAGTCTCATTGGACACTCGCCATAGTGAGTGGGTTGAAAGACCCCCTCTCCACATCCGACAGCAGGTCCGGAACGACTATGATGAACGAAGGCTGCTGATGGCAGGAATGAGACGGAGGGATTGGGGGCTTCCATGGGGCTTTCTACGGTGCGTTCCGGGTTTCCAGGATTGGGAGTTACAGAGGCATCATCACAATGACTAACATACTCAGAATTGCTGAAAATTTGATCGGCATCAGGCAGTGAATAGTCAATATATTGATTGTACTTGCTTGTAGAGGCAAGGTGGAAGACTCCTGATTCATATCCAGCCACACTGGGCTGGAGTAACCAGGAGCTTCCAAAGAGCGGTCTATTGTGAATTAGGATTGTTCGAACAGTAAAGCGGATGTTGTGAATGAGCAGTATCAAAAGTGCTTCTCAACTGGAAACAGCCGGCAGGTGCTTGAAGCGTTGCACTGGAACACGGAAACTGATCAGGCAAATTACTGTAACTAATGTATGCATACTTGCCTGAAGACGATGCTTGGGAGACCCCACTACCGAACTTGATCGCAAGGCCAGAACGACTCTGATCGCAGGAAATATAACGACTTTGATGGCGGGAAACAGCTAGCGCGACTGAATCGAGTGGTTTGAGGTCTCCCATAATGCGACAGGCAGTGCATTCTGGTCTACAGCGCTCCAATTCACAACGCAAAATCCAATTCTGAATCAGCAGACTGGGTCTAGTCCGGTGATGGGAGTTAAATATTCTATATATATTCGCGATTGAATAAATCGAGAGCCTTCAGTGCTTTTGAACACGATGAAGATGAGACGATCGCCAATATGAAACTCCTGGAGCATCTACAGTTGTGGGTTTCCTCATTTAACAAAAGGTACAGAGCTCTTAAAAATATTGAACAAGTGGCTTTCCGATACTTTTCCGAAAGATCCACGAACCTTTCCTAAAACTACGCAGTCAGTTTCACTAAATCCGGTTGGAGATGGCCAGTATTGGCATCACGGATTTAAACCTTGTATTGTAAAGGCTTTTAGTTGAGCCAATGAGAAATTTCTTACATCTTGATTACAAGAGAAAATAGAAGGATCGCTTGGAATGTTGAATTTTTGACAGGTTGCGAAGGTTTTTGTTTTGTTTTGATTCGCTGTACCTAATAAAACCAGCAAGCTAGCTATAGAGCTAACATATAACTTAACGCTCTCAAGTTGGACTAGGAAATGCTAAGATACAACCATTAGGTTTATGTTATGCTTTAGAATTCCAATTTAGGAGAATATTTTATATTGAGGCTTTTTTTAGGAGCAGCAAGTTATAACGAAAAAAATGTGGCCGTATGAGAAAATTTCACACAATATGAATAATAACGCTTCAATTGATAGGCGATAAAACACTTTCAAACATCTATGTATAATTAAATAATATGTGACTGGTTATTGTTTAACAGTAATAACAGTTTTGCACTAAATAGATAATCTTATGAAGAGCTTTGAGTGTGTTGGTTTATTTCCTTTAAATTCCTTTATAATTGCTTATCTTTTGACAGATACACGTGTTTTGTCTACTACTTGCAGACTTCATCAGTGGCCACATGGCCAGGTAGGAGTAGGGAAGGAATATTAGAGTTGCCTTTGCTGTTTTGGGTACCATTTTCCACACAGATTCCCCTTAAAGATCACAGGAAAGGAGATGTTGTTAGTAGGTTGGGTTCGTTTGATCAGGATTCACCTTATCACGATCATAATTTTGATATAATGCATTGTTGTTCGATGAATTGCTTGGATAACACGAAGAATATTTGCGATCTTTTGATGAGCGAATGATGTGACCCTATCATATCAGTAATGTGAAGGGGCTTGGGATAAAACCCACTGTCTTCTACTCAGTAAGCAAATACGGTTGGACTAGACCGAGCTCCTTATATTACATTACATTTAATTACCAATGGCGATTGTTCTTGCCCGTTGACATGAAACTGTTCTAATGGAATAATGTCCCACATCAAGCATACGTCATATCATTCACATCATCATCACTCACAGCAACAAAACATATGACACCTAGGACGACAACAGTAGCAACAGAAAACTTTTCAACATACAACGCCATCAGCAAAAGGAGTAACATAAATATGAACAAGCACCTTAGAAGACAAGAAGAGTAGTAGTTTGCTGGTCTGTAATATGCGTAATATTAAAATTTTGCCAGATGACAGGCAATATGAATGTTTTGTATAATTTTTGAAAAATATGATTTAACTACGAAACCCATTTTTACGAAACGAGCGTAAGAGAATTAACGAAAACATATTTTTAGTGCACGGACAATTGTTGCGTCGTAAACAATGTGAAGTGTGAAAGAAATAAACAAAGAATGCAGTCAGCATCCTTTGTATTATTCAATGCAGTTGGTTTTTACATTCGGTATGCTCATAATTTCAGGGTCAGGAGAGCAATAGGACATTCAAGTAAAAAAAAAAACCAAGAAGTTATTTTGGAAGTTAACACAAAGGGCTGAATTGAACCGTGTTGTTCACTTCAGGTTGACCCTCCAGATTTGATCTGGATCACCTAGACGATGCCGCTCACTCACGGAAGGCAGTTGCTACGTGCCGGCAACGGCGTAACTGCTTATTGATCGTGTAGCCACGTCATTACATCACTACTTGTTCGCGCTAAGGCTTTCCTCCGCATTCTCGTTGGCGGTATGTTACCGTAGTAGATCGGCATCGATCAACGCGCTGCTGCCACGATCGGAGCACGTTTCCAATTCTAATGCACCAGGAAAGCGTTGCACGAAGGATAACAGCAAGTTTTACAACTAGGCGCTTAGCACAGGTGGAAAACCCGCTAACCATCGTTATTGTCTCAGGGGTGAATCACCAATTAAGTATAATAAGATGAACGCGTTGACGTATGTAGGTTCACGCACGGGGTGCAAAAAAAAAAAGTTAGTTGTCGTCAGATTGCTTTTTGAGCTGGAGACAACTTTATAAAATCGCGTAAACGCTTATACAGCTGAACAATTTCTCCTTATCCCCGGAATGCGATCTTTGTTTATAAAAGTTTATTTATATTACAAGTTAGAGTGCCTGATGGAATGTCAGGTGAACAAACGCGCTTTTACTGGTACACGTAAGGTATGTTACTGTTTACATATACTTAATACCGTGGGACACAGCACTGGAACAGATTGTATTTGACATTCTACGGTGTGTTTTGCCCAACGGTCATGCTGTCACAACATTCATTATAGTTTTTTGAAGACTTATTATTGAATCATCGCTTGTTCTGATCTCCACCATCACCGTCAATTTTGCCTTCATGATTGAGAGTGATATATGTCAACCACTAAGATGGATACCTACGCTGATGGCTTAGCTCATATATCTACTCATAATTTGCATCATCCCGGCTAGCAGCAATGGCGGCGGCGTGGGATCGATTTAATCTACACGACCTAACCAAGTTCAATGCCAGGTGCGGTTTTCGCACCTGAACTGGTGGATGCTTTGCGGTGATTCTTCCGCCATTAGTGGATGCTGTTACGGTAAACAACACGGGACATCCCCGGTGGAAACAGTTATAGAAGGATAAATTTGAAGATTTAGCTGTTTTTTTGCGGGTGTTTATTTTTTACATAAGCAGCGGAAGATCACGTCTTAGGAAGCAGGAAATTGCGACTTCTTTATAAAAACCGCAAATTGAAGTCGACACATATGGCATGAAGTGATTAGTGCAGAGAGGAAATCACAATTTTTGATTATTTAAACCAGTAACTGAGAAACTTGAACGCCCTTGCACTTGTAACTGATAGCTGTACGTATTCTGTTTCAGTCTACATAGTAATTGCAGCAAATATAGTTGTCAAATCTGACGCATAGCGACCTTGACCACGACCTGTAGACAGCCGTTGAAGCATGCGACGGCTTGCTTTCCTCGCACTTCTCTCTTGCAAATTACATATGTGCTTACCTTCCGTATGATCAGCACGTGAGCTGCAGGTTTTTTTTTTACCTGTCGTCACTTTGTTTACATTCATTGAGTACAGTGTAGAGATGGAGAACACACGCTGCTGAGAGAGCAATACTGAGAGAACATCAGTGACGTAACACTGTTTTGAAATACACGCGATCGCGATCAAGTGATCTCCTGAGCCGGCTAGTTCGCTCTCCGATCACATAGGTCGTTGATGGCAGCAGCGTTATGACTCAGGAACTCTTCCGTAAGATAGCATCGCCCGCTTGAACATAGTAATTAACTTGTATACCTATGAGTACTAACAAGATTAATTTACGATCACGCATTGTCTTGGAGGAAATCCCCGTTGGCGCCGACTGTGTGTGACAGGACACAATTCGATCCAAACCAAAAGAGAGATGCGTTGCTGCATTTTCGAGGTTATAGGTGCGAGTACCTTTTCTTCTGGGGGTTCAGCTGTGCTGCAGGGCGTGAAAAGGTTAGAGTACCGGTCGTGTGCTCGGGTCAAAATACCAAACGAAACGGGTTTGGTGAATGAACAAAACTGAGCTTTGTTGATGCTGTGGGTTTAATGATCGCTAATGTGACATTGAGTACACGCGATATACACTTCTCCGTATAGTTTATGATGGCATGGCAAAGTGTTAATAAACAGTTCGTTTGAAATTACGAGATCACGATCTTTGACTTATTGTGCCAATGTGCAGCTCTTTCATAGCAGGAATTAACTTTTGTTGTTTTTTTTTCATTAAAGGAATTGTCAAACTAGGATTCCTCGGAATGCTATTCATCATGATGGGCTGCGTCATAGTGGTGCTCAACCCGACCGATCTGATAGTGAACAACGTAAGTGGTGATATCCTGTTCCGCTTGGGAATTTCCAGCTTAGATGATTTCTGAATGCTGTTTCGTTTCAGATGCTGAGTATGAATGAAGGTTCCTACCTGCATAGGCTATGGAAGAAACCACCACTGGAAGTGTTCATTAGCATCTACGTATTTAATGTGACTAATGCGGATGCGTTCATGCGAGGAGAGGAAAAAATGAGACTGGAAGAGCTTGGGCCGTACGTGTACCAGGAGTTCTTGGAAAACCACAACTCAACGTTCAACGCAAATGGAACGCTAAGTTTTACTCCTATTCGTCGGCAAGTGTTCATTCCAGAGCGTTCCGTTGGAAACCCTGACAATGATCTTATAATAGTTCCCAATATTGCCTACTTGGGCGTGGCCAGCGCAGCTTACCGCATGTCAGCATGGGCTTCTTTGGCCGTGGCTGCTGCCTTGAAGCCCCTAGGAATGAGCCCATTTCTCAACATAACCGTACATGACCTTCTTTGGGGGTACGAAGACCCATTAGTCCAAGTAGCTTCAACTCTGCTTCCGAATATCATTCACTTCAAGAAAATCGGTATTCTCGATCGCGTAAGTATTCATCTACCGTGATGCTGTTATCATTCAGTAGTCATCGACCATCTGGTATTCTCACTCACAGTGTTAGATTCTCATCAGCAACTCTGTTCTCTTTCTCTTCTTCTCTCTGTGATTGCACCACAACTCGTACTAACCCATACCACAGTCAGTTTAACCGTATTTCCCCCCTGTCCCGTTCGGAATAGATGTTCGACGATGGCTTTGATACTGTTACAATCAATCTACCGGAAGCGGTACAGAAATTGCGCAAAACCCAAATTGTGGCCGATGTTTCCGAGGAGGAATTGGATTCCGTCGAGAATGATTATTTTGACCAGGATGCATTGCAGATGGCTGCCGAGGAGGAAGCCGAAGAGTCGGACGACCCCATTCGGAACTACTCCATTGATCTGTGGAACGGTTCGCCCGGCCTAGCTCACTGGGGATATGTAGGAAAGGAGAACTGGGATGCAGAACGGAGGTAGCTTTTAAACTCCTGAATGAATAATAGATAAAATTTGCATTTCTCAATTTGATCGAACATCAACAGAAACACTCCATGTAATACACTGCAAGGATCGTACGATGGGACGGTGTTTCCGAGGAACATTTCCAAAACGGAAGTTTTCAAAGTCTACCGGAAGGCATTCTGCCGGACGCTGCCGATTGCATTCGAGCGAGAAGGTACGCACGATGGCATCAAAGCCTATTGGTTTTCCATTCAGGAGAATGCATTCGAAAGCTCGCTGGATGATCCCTACACGGCATGCTACTGTCGGTATGGGCAGTGTCTACCGAAGGGGCTGGGAGACTTGAGTCCATGTTGGTACAGTGAGTATTGGCAGTTTTGCTACTGGTAGAATTCATGGTGAATGTAATATGTTGTATCGTTCACAGATATCCCGGTAGCCGTATCGCTTCCGCATTTCTACAAGGGAGATCCAGCATTGTCCGAAGCTATCGATGGGTTGAATCCAAAGAAAGATATACACGATGCAGTCATTATCATGCAACCTGTAAGTGGATGACGTAGGCGTCGGGACACATTTCCTATCAATGATCCATTATTTATTCAACAGCAACTTGGGATTCCTATGACTGCCAGTATTCGAGTGCAAATCAATCTACTGACAAATGTGAGCTTCATCTCTGAATTGAAGCCTCTGCATAATACAGTGATTCCTTTAATTTGGGCGCAAATGGTAAGTAATGTATGCTATTCATATGTTTTCTCATAACCACAGGATTCGGTTCTAGTTATTTAAAAAATGGTCATCATGGTGAATATAATATTTCCTGGCTTGATCTTTGAACATCAGCATCCAGTCTCGGAAATAAATATGTAAATGTTTCGGGTTTCTATTAATAAGCGTTAACGAACGTCTTAAATAGGTGGGTCGCCTTATTCAAAGCATGTCTTTTTTCCTCTAAACAATAAATCGAGATCCTAGCTAAACGATGATCTAAAATGATCCAAAACGATATTGCATGGGCGTAGCATGTTAGGGGTGAGAGGGGCGCTCCAATTAGAAAAACTTAACGCTCCTGAAAGTTCTATTAAATACACGCTTAATTTTATTATATCCAGAAATTTGATTACCAGAATCGTTCCGATTTTTAATGAATAGAGAGCTAAAGACATTTCCAAGCTTAAGAAATAAGTTTATGGTTCATTCACTACTTTTTGCGCACAGAAAATTAAAAATTGAAAAATCTTCGGTGTCAAAATACATTGATAATTTCATTTCTCAGGCTTTCATCCCGATTCCCGGTCCGGTCTAGGAATTTTTCGGGTTGGAAAATTTCTTGTCTTCCGTGGGCATATAGTGTGATTGTTTTTGCCACACAATTATACTAATGCAAAAATGGTACAGGCATCAAAAGCTCTCAAGTAATAACTGTGGAAGTTCATCTAGAAAACTAACGTGAGAACACGCAATAAACATAAAATGTGAAGAAGAAGTAGTAGAAGGTTTTCTTTAGAATATTCTCAAGAATTTCCTTAAAATCATTCAACAATCTATTCAGAGCACGTCAGAATCCGTTTGAAATATTTTTCGGATTCGCCCTATAAAACTCCACCATTCACTTCTTATCATTAATAATTTTTCCAAGAATTAGCTCAAATTAATTTCATAATCTTTTGACGTAGGACTACGTCTTTAATTTCTATACTGGGATTCACATTAACAAAATCAAAATTCAGACATGTAACGAAAAATCCCAAACACGGACGCAACGATAGAGCGCAAATTGAACAAACGACTTATTGCGCATGCTCACATGAGCGAGCTCTATGCTCGGTTTATCGCTCACCATTCCACCAATGAAAGGAAGGGAGGAGAAAAGCAGCGATAATAAAAACGTTTCCGAAATCGTTTTCTTCGTCATTTTTTTTTTTTTTTTGAGCAACGGACAGATAAGCGTCAGACACGAAGTATGAGTGGAACAGCACGCATCGCACCAATGCGAAGACGACGGACGACGACAGAAGGAACCCACATCGACCGGAGGAAAGGCTTCCTGCCATAGGAAGCATGACTAGGCCGCCGTCATCCGGTCGGCATAGACTTGCACTGGTGTGGCCACCATTTTTCAGGGCCACCAATTCAAAAACGGAAAGAGTTTAGAACTAAATGATCAACATATTTGTTCCGTCCTACGTCAAGCTTCCATTCGTGCCCCTAGGCACAGACCCATCTACTTATTTAAAAAAATATCCTTCAAAATAATATTATAATTGTCTTGAAAAATTGCATTGGAATTCAATTCAGCATAATCTGATATACATTCTGGGAATTGCCTTACTTCTTAGAATTCCCATGCAATTTTCAAGAGGGTTCATTTAGAACTACGCAGAATACGCAGAGTTCGATTCCTTGGAACATTTTTCGCAATGGATCACAACTAGCAATGGGCGATATTGTGAAAAATATCGATACTTGAGTATCGATATATCGAATTGGAATGTATCGATATGCTCAAAATATCAGCGAAAAGTATCGATATTTTTCACTGTTGTATCGATACAGGATTTGGAGAAATTTCGTTTTTCTAAATAAAACGGCAGGGGATAAAAAGTAAAGAAATGTGTTTTATAATAGAAATTGGAATATATAAAAACATGGAATATATAAAAAACAGTCTTTCAGACGGTACAGATGTTACCATCCTTGATAGGTAGTCTATTCCGATCAAGTAGAGATGTGGATATTTGCTTTTAATGATACTCCAGGCTTCAAGAGGATCAGATGATCTAGGAATGACTTTCTGTTGTAAATAGTTGCGAAGCTCTCCAGATATTCCGCTAGATTGGTTGGGTTTCCTTGATGCCGTTTTTTCCACGACCTAGATTAAGAGAATGAGAAGTTTGTAATCTATTAAAACATAAATAAATGAACAAGTTTGCTACCAAACGGTCGTGAATGTCCCACAGGCTTTGTTTGCTGCCTTGAATCTGGCATGGTTGATCATCGTTTGTAATTTCTTCATTTGTCAATGTGTGCTCCTGCTCTACCCTCTCATCTGCTTTAAGTTTATCGGAAACAACTTTCATCACACTCGTTTGCTTTAGTGGGTCTAAGTAGAACGATTTGAACCGAGGGTCCAACCAACAATCAATACGAAACTAACGATTTTAAATTGGCTCACTACTTGACTAGCCTATTGGTCCCAAGCAAACGATTAACGTACGCCATTATAGTCAAAATTCTACTACTACACAATGTTTGTTTTGATTCGCTATGGAAGTTTGACAGATAAAATGACGGGTTAGTGGATTTTCCTATGTTCCGAGGGGTGAATTGATTAGCTTGGGACCGAAGATAGTACCAGAGCTGAGCCAAAAAGTTGAGCACGTTTCTTTGGGACCTAAATACTAGTCTTAGAGTTACCTCTATGGTCCAACAGCGTCATAATGGAGAGTCCGTCTGTTGATTCAGTTAGCCGAAATCGATATTGGAATTGATCCAGCAAAGCCGTTTTTAATTCATTAACGTTTCCAGTTTTTGGTTCCAATTGAATCCAAGACCTGCTATATTGAAAATATTAAAATTCGGCTTTGGTTCAAATTATAAAGCATAACGTACATTTTTCATGATGCTCATTAAGGGAATTACTTTTCCTGCCAACGAGCCCTTTTCGGCTTCGAGCTTCGTTATGACATGCATGATTGGTTGAAGGATATTGCGAACATTTGTATCCGAAGCTAAACCTGCTCCCTAAAGCATGGAGACGTTGTCATGCCTTAAAAGGACAACTCTGACATTGTCTGTCAGCAGAATGAAACTGTCTAGCATATGGTAATTATTGGTCCACCTGGTCAGTTCATTCTTTTTCAATTTTGAAGCTCACCCTTTGTTTTCCGGCCTTTTCTGTAGCGCTCTCAGCTCATCTGCAGCATTTGTTGATCATTTAAAGTAGGTCACGATGCTATGAATTTTTGGCAATAATCCTGTAAACTTTTTAGACTTTTCAATAGCCACTGTAGCCGTTCTACTGAGAGAATGATCAGTACAAACAGAGTGTCGGTCATTTCCCAGTAGATCACGCCGGTCATTTCCTCATACCTCATTTTCTCGATTTCTTTTGATTTAAAATGTTTATTTATTTTTGAATATTTATCAAAAAATCATATCAGTATGGGATATTTGTTCAAAATATTCGAAGTCATAATTTTCAATCAATCGAAACAAATAAATACCTAAGTCAATTTTCCATTTTGTGCATGTAGCTTTGAACTAATTTACGAAGTGATCTTTAGTATGAGAACCCTCTAAGGGGTGTGTGTGACTAGAGCTATGGATTTCATAGTTTTCTGGTCGTCGTCGAGGAAATACAAGATCATGCCCAAATAACTCTTATTGTTTCCGGTGTCTGTCCACACATCTGCTTTCATACTGTATTTGTCACAGCCTTTGATTTTCAATTTCATTATTTCGCTCTATTTCGCATGACTATGACAATGACAGTAAGATATTTAAAATTAAGTAAATTCAGTTCAAATTTGCATCTTGAGAATCGATTAAAAGAATATTCAGATGTATCGATATAATATCGAAATAAAAGTATCGATACACAGAAATATCGGGCTTTGTAGTATCGATACAAAATATCGAAATATCGGCTCAAAAGTATCGATATTATCGATATCGTTACCGTATCGCCCATTGCTAATCACAACATTCGAGTAGTTCAAAATGAAATTTTCTACTACTATATTATTTTTTTCTTCTATAACCTCCAGAAAAAAAGGTCTTATTCATGCTAAGCTTGAAAAATCAGAAGTTTATTGCGTTATTTTCGTAAAATTGCTGGTAAGAGGTCGTCCCAAAACTGGTCGACCATATGCTTAATTATCTTTGAACTCTCATATACAGATTTAGATTCTCCCCAAAATTAAATTAAAATTTTCTTAAACAATTTTTATGAATTTTCATCAGAATTTAAATTATATTGGAGGTTATGTGGCTTTTTAAGTTCTCATCTTTTTTTTTCATCTGACGTTTCGGTCACATGTATTGTACAATGTTGGAATTTTGTTTTCGATTTTACTAACTAACTAAATTCCGTTCTAGTGTAAAGAGTCCACAGCATAGGCACAACTATCTCGATGTTCGGTATCGTATGCTACAAAACCTGGGGCCTGGTTGGCGGTCATGTTTTTATTACTATCATCTGCTCTTGTCTTTCTGCTTACAACACGATTTTCCGTCTTTTTCCACCATGTATACGTCAGGTGGGCCGTATTTAGATAAGGCCCGTGATCTTGCCTACTGTCAATCGTATAGGATTGATATGTCGTTGCCAGTCTCCTGACAAAAACAAGATCTCATGTTAGCCGGACGTCATACTCTCGAGGAGTACATTCGAGACACTTCTACTCACTTGACCACTCCAGTTTTGCGGTAGTGGCGGGAAATTCAACATGAACCGGCTAGCAGGACTTGGGTACAGTTTCTCGTTTTTGCGCCACTTTAACTATGGCGGTACCGATTCGTTTTGTGACTATTGTGCTCTTTGCTGTGTTCGTCTACTACACCTATTGTTTTCACTGTGTGAAGAACGCCAGCATACGTGCTACTCAAATTGTCTGTATCTGTGCACTTGTTGACAGTGTGTGGTGTGTTTATAATGTGACATGTTTCGAATATTGGTAGATTTTGTTTTTTAAGACTAGAATCCAGTATCTGTGTGCGATCGA